TGAACTGACCCAGATACATAAATTAGGATATATAAGTGTCCATCTAAATTTCCTATCTTTCAGTATTTTTTACAGCATATTTCCTTAAGGTTGCTTAATGTACAATTTCTCATAGGTCATTTTGGAAGTCCTTTATTGTAAAGATAATTCTTTTGTCTGATGACAAACAGCAGCCACGCTGTCAGTGATTATTCGGGACCTCCACGGTGGATAAACTCCATTTCTTCTTGAGACATAAGTTTCCTTCTGTATTTCTGAGGTAATGTTTTTAGTATTTCCGCAGTGTCCGGTGGCCCCTGATGCATGAGCAAGTCTGGTGATTTACTTCCCTTCGAATGCTGTGACATTGCAGAGGAATGCAATGGGATTCCTGCTGATCTCAGAGCTTCTGATACATTGAGTTTAGGGTTGTCATTTCTATCAGGGAACCTTATTAACGGAGTATGTGGCTTAACCACCTGAACGACCCTGCTGGCGGACGCCATTTTGCTGCCTATCATGACCCCCCGAGTAGGGGCCTTTGTCCTTTATTTTTATGGTCATATTCGTTATTCTTGCTCTCTCCACTTCGCGCTCACCCCCAATTTGCCCTGATTTAGATATAAACTGTTTTAAATATGTAGATTTAGCTTCTTAGTTTCCAAAAGAATATTCTGTGGATCTTAACTAGAGTTGTTGTAAATTGTTGACATGTTAATTCTCTTTCAAACATTAATCTTCTATGCATTTATATATCTCACTTAGTCCAGCTTCTATATCTTTCCTTGCTCCCTGACTTATTTTCAGAGAGAGAAAATAGTCATCTTAACCAATATTATGTACACCCTTAGAGAAAAATTTCTTAGATACACCCATAGGGGAAAAGTTCTTAGATACAAGTCAGACACAATCCCAAGATGAGATGATTGTAGCAAAATAGAGATAACTGTGTTGCAGTATGATGTCTGCTCTTTTAAAAGAGTTAGGTTGTTGTTTTTTTTTTTTTTTTTTTTTTTTTTTTTTTTTTTTTTTTTTTTAATCCCAAAACTATTTATTACTGGTCATATAGAGTGAGAAAACAGGTCCTCAGATCCCCACCTTCTTATCTCAAGAAATATAAGTGTTTTCTAGGTTTTCTTTCATGTCTCCTACACTTTTGGTGATATTGAGTCAAATTGTAGGGTCCTTAATTTTGTTACTGTATATACTATAATTAACACAGTGCCAGGCAAATGATGAAGTGTAAGAACTCATACTACTGATGGGAGCTTCATTAGAAGATATTGTTGGATACATGTGCTAACTCTTAGAGTTCCCATTACCTAGCATGTACCCTATTAGAATAGAAATAGATGCCTCTTAACAATGAGGCTGTTTTGTTTTCTGTTTGTTTTTCTTGTTGTATACCATCGAATTGGATCTGACTGGCACAGGAGGATGTTGCCCCTCCTTCTCCAGTGGAGCATCTGGTGGATTCAAACCACATGCCTTCCAGAATGCGACACAGCGTCTTGCCACTAGGACACCAGAGCTCCCCAGGAATTGATGGCATACCGATTGAAATATTTCAACGAACAGATGCAGTCCTGGTTGTGCTCACCAAGTTGTGCCAAGAAATTTAGAGGACAGCCACCTGACTGGACGAGTTCTATATTTATTCGCATTGCAAAGAAAGGTGATATGACAGAGTGTGGAAATTATTGAACAGTATCATTGATAGCACATGCAAGCAAGATTCTGGTGAAGATTATCTAAAAACAGCTGGAACAGCTCATCAACAGAGAACTGTCTGAAGTGCAGGCTGGATTTAGAAGAGGCCGTGGCACTAGGGATATTATAGCTAATGTCTGATGGATCTTGGCTGAATACAGT